GCTTTATAAACACTAGCTAATTAATTAAGCTGCCTAAATCTGGCTGCAGTTGGTGGAGAGAGCTCAAGAGGATCTAAAAAAAAAGAGGGGGAGCCAGCCCTACCCAACTCCAGATTTTATTGTCGCCTGCCCGGGTGTGATGACCGGCCTCCGGCTGCACAGAATAGCCCTGATCCTGGGAGCCCGCTGCCGGGTGCTGAAGCGCCTCCCCAGCACAGCGCCCTGGCCCATCGCTGACCCAAGCCAGGGGCACTGATACCAATAAGGATGATAATCACTGAGAGCCGCGGCCCAGGCCCCCCACCACCTAGAGATGCCAATATTAGCTCCACTTCACAGACGAAGAAGGAGGCTCCAAGAGGGGATTTGTCTGGATCCCGGAGCAAATAGAACCCCCTCCCTCCTCCACTCCTCAATGTGTTCAGTCAACATATACTTAGTGACAACCCAGGGTGCGCCAGATCCTGTTCCAGACAGGAGGTTGGAAGCCGTCCCTTGTGGATCCAACATCCTAGTGGGGGGCAATAGAACAATCCAGACGAAATCAACTACATAAATAATGCAGCTTGGTGGTAATAATAGGAATAGGAACTAAAATTTAAGCAGCACGTGTGTGCCAGGTGTTTATGTGTAGCTCTGTCACAGTCCTCATGACTGACTGTCCCCAAGGTGGATGCCGGTAGCTGGCTTGGTGGATGATGGCATGGGGGTCCCGGAAGGTGGGGCAGAGCCAACTGGAGGCTCTGCTCTGGCCCAGGCCTGTGGCCCCAGCACAGAGTAGGTGCCGTTTCTGGTTGGGCTGGTCTCCTGGTGCTCGAGTGCAGACCCCCGGGGAGCATCGCTGGCTGGGTACTCTGGGGACTCCAGGTGACTTCCTGCCTCCATGCCTTGAGTGGCCTGTACCTCCTGTGCCTCTCACATGCCTGCCACTGTTGGGCTGGCTGACGCTGGCCGGCCCTGTCCCCTACAGGCTCTGCTTTCCTCCCTGGTGCCGTGAGAGTCAGGCCGTGCTCAGGCTGGCCCTGGAGCCTCAAGGGCGAGCCCTGGCAGGAGGGGAAGTGAGGCAGGATGATGACAGATGGTGACAGACCTGCTTCAGGCCCTGGGCTTGACTGGCCCGTGGCCTCCCCCTGGACACTTTCCCCCTGCCAGTGAGGCAGTCCAGCTCCTGGGCCTGGGGGCACACCCACGGGGTCTCTCTCCTGCCCACCCAGAGCTGGAGGGGCTACTCAGAGGGTTTGCAGCCCTGTTTGGTGGACAAGGTGCCATCAGGGTCAGTGGGGAGCCCAGTGGGAGCCAGATCACTCATCTCCTGTCTCTGTCTTTCCCTTTTCCGGCTCCCTCTCCGACTTGTCTCTCTGTGTCTCTGTCTCTGTATACAGTTGTCTCTCCAAATCCTCAGGTTCCGTGACACATTCAACCACAGTTAGGCCTACCATGGCTGCAACTGTACTGAACACAGACGTTTTTCCTGCCATTATTCCCTACACAATGCAGCCTAACAACTATGTGAGTTGTGTTAGGCATCACACTCCTGCACTGCGTAATGACAATTCACTTGATAGCCAACCACACTTACAACCGTACACACACCACCTAGCCTAGGTGTGTGGTCGGCTGTACTGAGTCTAGGTGTGGGTGAGTATGCCATACTGCTCACACAGTGACCAAACTTCCCAATAACCTGTCCCCATCATTAAGTGACACTTGGCTGTAGATAATCCAGGGTGGTGCACAGTACACACAGGGTTGCAGACGTCATGCAAATACGACATCATTTATAAGAGGGACTTGAGCCGTCCTTGGGTCTGGGTAACCAGGAAGGTCTTGGAACTGTCCCTGCAGGTTCCAAGGGATGGCTTTGTATGTTTCTCCCACTCTTCGTGGTCTTTCTTTTCTCCCCTGCCCACCTCCACCTTGTTCAGAACTGGGGGGCCCAGGAGGCACCCTCTCTTCCCTTGGAGCCTGGGTATCTGCAAACCCCAGCCTGCCTGGGCATCTTCTGGGCTGTGTCCTTCCCCTGCACTGGCCCCCAGGCTCTCTGCGGGGTCTCTGTCTCACACACTCCAGGGTCTCCAACTAGAAGCCCAGGCCTCTCCCACAGCTGACCCCAAGACTCCTTCCAGTTGCCCAGCCTGGAAACTTGAGGCCTGGACTGGGTCCCACTCCTGGGAGTCCCCATCGTCCAGCTCAGGACTGGCCTGAGCGGCAGTAGTGAGGGCTGGTGAAGTGAGGTTTGAGTAGCAACCCACCCTTCATCCACTGTTGGTCCAGAAACAACGTCCCCTGTGCCCAGCCCAGTGCTCAGGGGCTCCTTTTTGGGGAATCTCATTCTTTGCAAATAAAGCAGAGGACTGGGGGGTGTTCTACCTGTTTTTGTGGATAAGGAAACTAAAACCTGATGGATAAACCAGGGTCATGTGTGATAAGGGGTGCACCACATTTCAAACCCTGTCAACTCCAAAGCCCAGATGCTCCTTTTTGCCACTGTCCCTGGTCTCTGCTTGTCCAGTCCTCCTGGACAGGCCTCAGGATGGACTCAGTGATTATTTTACAGATGAGGAAGGCGGGGCTGAGAGCCGGAAAGGGTTTGTCCAAGCCCAGGGCTGCACTTGGCAACTGGGTGTTTTCAGTTGCCCCAGTAATGGCCCTAGGTGACAGGGGCACCACTGGGCCAGGACTCCAGCCCACATGCTCCTACTTCACCACTTCCCAGGCTGCTAAGTGCAGCTTCCCAGGCAGGGTCATCGTCCTGGTTCCACTGGGAACAATCTAAGGCTGTGCAGAGTCAGTCCCCACACACGGGGTAGCCTCCTCCTCTGCACCTTCTCCCTGTGCTGTTCCCTCAGCCAGGACCCCCAGGGCTCCCATCTCTCTGGTCAATACAGATTTGAATTTCAGAGCCCAGCTAGACATGGCTCTGCCACAGAGGGCCCAGGCCTCACACCCCTCCCTGCCACGGGACTTAGTGCTCTGAGCCTCAGTTTCCTCGTTTGTATCCCAGTCACAAGGAGCAGGTCCATATGAGGGTTAAATGTAGTCGCATGTGCCTTGTGCTGAGCTCAAGTTCCTCTTGGGATATGCGTCGGGGGAAATTGGTTGTTGAGAAAACACACAGGATCCCCAGGATGAGCAGTGACCACCCTGTGTCTCCCCCCAGGAGCGGCTGCACAGGAGCTGCAGGTGATCCAGCCTGAGAAGGCAGTGTCTGTCGCTGCTGGAGAGTCGGCCACTCTGCAATGCACTGTGACCTCCCTGCTCCCCGTGGGGCCCATCCGGTGGTTTAAGGGGGCAGGGCCAGGCCGGGAGCTGATCTACAACTTCTTAGGAGGCCACTTCCCCCGAGTCACAAATGTCTCAGATACCTCAAAGAGGGACAACAGGGACTTTTCCATCCGCATCAGTAATGTCACCCCAGCAGACGCCGGCACCCACTACTGTGTGAAGTTCCAGAGATCGAGCCCTGTTGATAAGGAGTACAAGTCTGGACCAGGCACCGAGTTGTCTGTGCGAGGTGAGTGCAGCTGCCTCCTCCTCCCTGGGGTGGGACAGGAGGTCAGGGGTCACGCCCTCCATCCTGGGGGCCACAGCTGAGAAGCAGGAGCAGCACTGGGTGCTCATGTCATGACCTGCTGTCACCC